AAGGAAGGAAAGAATCACGAAAGACCACAAGGGATTCAGGAAGAGACTCCCATTGGATTCTCTGCTAAGAAACTTGAACTTCATTGTGCAGACATTGCAGGAAGCCCGGGTTCAGTGGAAAACAGTATAACGAGACCCAAGTTTTAGGAACATCTGTCCTAAATCTGGAGGTGGGGTTGGTAGGCGTTTCCTGGAAGACCAGGACGTTTTTGTAAAACTCAGGTGAAAGGTAACTCAGACCTAAAGTGAAGTGGAAGTAATGAGGATCGTGAGACTGTAGGCATACAAACAACTGAGCTACCGCAATTGCATTTTTTTTAAAGAATTATGCATATAAGAACTGCGGTACAGGCCAGAGGTGCAGTGGGTGAGAGGATTCACCAGAGACAGAGTGGGGAACAGAACAGGAGGAATAACTGAAATCTACTGAGGGGAGCAGCGGGCAAGCCAGGAGAGGTCGGCTGTGCCATGTGGGTTGCTCCCTGGCCGGGGATCGAACTTGTGCTGCAGTGTCTGCAGTTATCTTCATAGGTTGCATCTTAACTCCTTGTGCCACCAGGGAGGCCCTCAATTGCATTTTGGTGTAAATATCTGTGGCCTAAATGTAGGACAAGGGCAAAGACTCCAGGAAGACACAGATCTAGAAGACAGTGGACAAAGAGCAGAAAATAAAGAAATACAAGTTGAGTTCGTGAGTAGAATCATTCCTTTTGGAGAGGAAATGGAGAGGCAGTGTTGCATCCATTGGAAAACAGAAAGGAGCTCTTACCTTCCATTCTGATAACACCCAGCCCATGTGATTAAAATTGCAGATTTCTGAGAGAGGTTAAATTTGGGGGCAGGGGTGGAGCTGGAGAGGGTATTTGTTCTCCCTGCTTGTCTCTGTATTTTCCCAACTAGCGTGCAGGGGACAGGCTGCATCAGGAGAGGGCAGCCCCACAGAAGCACTTCAGGAGCACCTGGCTTAATGGAGCTGTAGAACTACATCAAGTGGCTCCTGCTGTGGGGTGTGAGATGGCTCCAGATGGATGGTAATTTGGAAATAAGTGGCTTCAGCCCCGGAGATGAGGTTAGAAAGGTAGGCAAGGGCCAGATAGGCAGGAAGTTGAAGGGGATAATAAGTAAATTAGATATTATTAATGGTACATTGGGATGTTACTGCAAAATTTAAGACAGAAGAGCGACCTTACTGAGCCCCTATTGTTATAGGACAGGGAGAGGGGCAGCCCAGACCCCGCAAACCTGCCTATTCTAAATGGGTTCTGCCATCCGCCCCATCAACACAAAACATATGAGACTTTAATGGGAAGGAACTTTAATAAAACTAGGAAACAATACAGGAAAGGCAAAGAATCTAGTTTCTACATGAAGCATCCAAAGTTACCCATCCCCTCACGGGTAAAAGTCCATCCAAATGGGTGGGTAAAAGTCCACCCATTTGGGGCCACAAGGCCCCAAAGCCTGCCACAAGTCTAAAGCATCTTCCAGTGGGGACCCACAGAAAAGGGTCAGAAACTACCAGACAAGCCCAGAAAGAAAAGAGCAAAATCAACATCAAGATAAAAGCTGCCATTGTCACCTCCCCATGGGTCTCACCCACATCTGTGTCACCCAGTCCATGACCAAAAGACAAGCGCAGTTTCTTCACGTGTCTCTAGGCTCCACGCGCCTCCTCCAGGTCTCCTGGCTCCATCCTGCTTCCTTCCTTCCTCAGTCTCTTCTGCAGCTTCTCCTCTTCCTGCTCAGTTCCACCCTCCCTTGGGTGGGGCAGGGAACCTCCCCCTTTCCTGGGGACCACCCTGTTACAATATGATGACCATGACTGCCCTGTAGAAAATGAATTGGAAGAGAGTAAGGTGACAGGAAAGTGATCACAACAAGAGATAACACAGCTTAAACTAGAGAGCTTAACTAGAGATGCAAATACATGGATTTAAGATTCTTTACAGTTCAAATCCACAGGTTTTCTTGCTAGATTAAATAGAGGAGGGGTAGATTGAAGAAGGGGTGGGAGGTTAAAAACTAAGTTTGGGATGCACCTTTTAAATTGAAGATGCCTGTGAGACATCCAGGTGTAGATTCCAAACAAGCAATTGGACATACAGGTCAAAATCTAAGCTGGGGTCCTCCCTGGTGGTGCAAGGGGTTAAAACTCAGCTCTATGAAGCTATCCGCTGTCACTGCAGCATGAGTTCGATCCCTGGCCAGGGAAGTGACACACATGGTGCAGCAGACCTCTTCTATCTCACCTGCTGGCTGCTCCCCTCAGCAGTGCATTTCAGTAGATCTGCTGGTTCTGCTCACCACTCTGTCTGGTGAATCCTCTCACCCCCTGAACCTCTGGCTTACACCCCAGTTCTTGTATGCATAAATAAATAAATCTTAAAAAAAAATCTAAGCTGGACTTGAGCTCAGATAAGAAGGTAATTCATGTTTATTGAGCACTTACTACATGCCAGGTACCCATTACGTTACAGATGTTTTGTCATAAGGTTTATATATATTATACACCTGCTTTCTCCATGCCTTTTCAAGCATCCTTCCAACTTGGCCTCTCTGGGACCCAACTAGAAGCCACCCGAGAAATGCTCGTTGTAGAGACTCAAACAAACCAAAAAACCAATTTCTCCCTCCCAGATTTCTAATGAGTCCCTGCAGGGTTGCTGCACCTGGACTTGTGTTCAGAGACTTAGTGATCAGGGGGGTGCAAAAACTCCTAGAACATTTGAACCTAAACACTCTAGACCTAAATTATAAGTATGGCTCTGCCCTTTGAAATAATGCAGATTCCTGGGCCCCACCATCAGAGATTATATTTCAACTGATCTGGGATGTGTCTGTAATGTAGGTGATTCTGATGCTAGTCCAGGGACCAGAAACCCCACTGTGCAGAGTGATGAATTACCAGTCTTCACCAGTTATCTGCCTCAATGATCTCCCCCCACTTAGATCATTAAAGCAGTTTTTAAATAAGGCTCCAAATTCATTGCCACTCCTCCCTTTGAGATGTGGGTTCCATGTTCCTTGCCCTGAGACCTACCAGTCCTGGCTCTTGGAATGTTCCAGCTGCCTCCGATCAGGATGCTCTTGGGATGTGAGAAGCCACCAGGATGTGAAAAGCCCAAGCCACATGGAGGGATTACATCGACAGTCCCAATCGAGTTTAGTTTTGAGTCCTCCCAGCCCTGATCCAAATGTGCAAGTGAGGAACCTGCAGCTAATCCCAGCCACTGAATAGCCCTGCCCGCAACTCTCCCCAGCTGAGCCCAGACAACGCAGAGCAGACGTGAGCCTTTCCCACCATGACCTGTTCAAAATCCTGACCCACAAAAACTGGTGTTCATAATAAAAGATTGTTTGCTGTCACTTGTTTTGGGGTGTCTGTCATGCAGTCACTGTGATCGTTACAAATGTGTTTTCTCAAGCAATAAGTATTAAAACGCAAACACCTCTTGGAAGGATAAACTCTTTCAGATGCACACACAGTGTATCCAGCAGACAGCAAAGGAGGAAAAATGAGCCAAGAGAAGTTCTCTTGCTTCACTGACATAAACGCATCAGTGGATAGAGACATATACATTGCTTCCAGAAGGTTGGAGGCAGAAGGATGGCCACATCTTGAATACATCATGGCTGATAGAAAAAGAGGTACCTCAAAAGGACAGATGAGGAAGGAGAATAAAGCACATTAATTTATTTCTAAGACTGGATCTAAAATACCCCAATTCTCTCACAAACTACAAAGTTGTTCATTTATGCCAGTTTCCCGAGAGTAATTGCTTAATGTTAAAAATCACCTGGGGATCATATAATAACAAACACCAATGGTAACTCTTACCACCAGACCAGTGTGGGAAATGCTAAATTACAGAATTTCAAAAGTTAATACTAAACAAATAGCAAATGTGAAAACTTTTTCAAGGAATCACAGTTCTGTGGTGAGAATGGGGTTAATACTCCAGCTTTGTGTTTATAGAAAATGAGTAGTGAGTACCTAGCAGCCCTGAATCCCTGGGATGTAAATTCCAGCTAATCCAATTACAAAGACATGGAGGAAGAAGTCATCAATATTGTAATTCACTGCCAGTCAGACACCACTGATTATATGAAATATTTTAAATGCAACTGTAAAACAATATTTAAAATTATAAAATATGCAAAAACATAAGGAATAGTTCATGAATATTCTCATAAGAGAGATGTTAAGATTCAGTGTTCAGGGTCTTAGGAGAGTTAGTATTTAATAGAAGTAAAAATGATGAGGAATGACAGGTAACCTGGGATTGAAAAGAGAACAGGACACGTCACCCTAAAAGCCAAATTTTAATTCCATTTTAGCAACCATTTACGTTTTCTTCAGCCTCCCTGCCTCTCTCATTTTCAGAAGTCACTTGAATTGTTCACTTCAGATTGTTAATATAAAGTTACTGTGATTTTCTTTGCAGAAATACATGCACTGCCTCCAAAGACAGAGGGGATGTGGCTCAGGGGCATGAACTTACCATGTAATGGGTTATGACCCCCAAGTTCCACATTATCAGGAGATTTTTCATGATTGGGGTGTTGATCCATATCAGTGAGCAAACCCTACTCCCCATAGAGACTGAAAGCAATTGAAGCCCTTTGAACCTCCTCAAATGTATTTCTCATGCCTCTGGACACCCCTTCACAGTTCTGTGGTATCATTTTCCATAGTAAAATGGACATCCATCTCTGACTCCAAGAGCGTGCATGTATTGCAATCGATAAAATAAAATGTCTGCTGAACAATTATTGTATTGATGGATACCTGAGTTCCAGGCAATAAAAGTGGGAGTCACTTGTAACAGATCAACCTAGAAGCTTAATATCCCTCCTTAGACCACAGGGTATATACTCAAGAGCAGGAAGGAGTGTGTCATCTCCCCATTAATTTCAGGCCTGTGTGAATTTTTGGCCAAGGACTCAAGAACCCTGGTTGCTCACACCCTCTCTGTCTTACTCTGTTCTCTCCCTCCCAGGGACATCTCTTACACCAGCGTCACCGCCCTGCCCTCCAAGGGCCTCGAGCACCTGAAGGAATTGATAGCAAGAAATACTTGGACTCTAAAGAAACTTCCACTTTCCTTAAGTTTCCTTCACCTCACACGGGCTGACCTTTCTTATCCAAGCCACTGCTGTGCTTTTAAGAACCAGAAGAAAATCAGAGGGTAAGTGGCAGGTGTCTGGAATAAGTGACGGTAGAAGTTGATTTAATTTCTGGGACTGGGAAAGCAGCTTTGTAGTTTTAAAAAAGGTGAAGAATTGTAAACATTCCAAAGAAACACGAGATCTATGAGACAATGACTGCAGACTCTACCTGGTTGCAGATGAGAAATAAAGCTAACTGGATTGCAGTGCGGGAGGGGTAATAGGAGGTGAGGTTGGGGAGACTTGCTGAGCAGGACAAATACATCCCTTTGGGAGTCCTTGGTGAAAATAGCATAGAGGAGTGAATTGGCTTGGGAGGTAAGTAGATAGAGTGACCAGAACATATAGATGGAATAAACAGGTTATATAGAACTTTGCAGAAACCATACAATATGATTTCTTACCTTTAGATGCAACACATATTAGATACTGCAAAACATATTAGACATCACAACTATGAGGACAAATTCAGACACACAGTACAAGCAATTGGATTACCTGGTCATTTGAACCCTGCAGATGCCACAACTCACTGGTTGTGTATGTGGGTTTTGGAGTCAGCCGGGTCTGTGCCCAGCTCAGCCACATCCTAGCTGTGGTAATTTAGCCTAAGTCCTTAATCTCCTCGAGCCTTTTCAGTGGAGCTCATAATGCCATCATCATGTAGGTTTTTAGATTAAATGAGATACTGAATAGAAAAGACCTTTCACTATTATCTAGAATATCATTGTTCTCAATAATAATAGCTATGTGTGATCTGTGTTGTCTTATTATCAGGCTAGGTATGCTGCAGAGGAGAGATGTTCTGCTTTTCCTCTCCATGCTTACTCTTAATCTTGTTTCCACTTACACTTTTACCTGCATTATTTTCCCCTTCATATCTCAGGCAATCCTCTGTTCTAACACTACCTTCATTTACGTCTTTCTCCCTGCCTTGATTATAGAATGCCTACTGGCTGATTTTCTGCGTTTACACTTGAAGTCAGAAATAGACTGAGATCTAGTTTTGGGGGCAGAAATAAACAGGAAAGTAAAACAGCTGTGCAAAGAAGGCCAATGCAGGCATAACACCTGCAGAAAATTAGGAGTGGGCCTGGGAGTGGCACTGGTGGGCTCTATACTGATGCCCGTGCCCCAGAATAAGAAAGGACTGGGGAAGGTGGTAGGATAAAGTGCACCTTAGGGGCAGTTCCAGATTTTTCATTAACCCCTAAACAGACTGGAATATAATAAAGTTAAAATCAAAATCAACAAGCAACTATAAACCAGAGACACACCACCAGGGAGGTGGGGGTGGGGGGAGATGGGAGTAGGATCAAAACAAGGATGGTGGGATTGTGTGGGGACTATAACCAAGATGAAAATGCATACGTTGTGCAAAAATGAAAAATGATGTAAAAAATATATAAAATAAAAAAATAATAATAAAAATAGAATTCCACTGGGTGCTTTAGCCAGAGCCCAACAGATGAAGCAAACTCTGTGCAGCAGTTGAAGCAAGTTAAAGAATCCCTTTCAATGTGAGTCTGGTGGGCTAGTGAAAAACTGACTTTTATTTCTATGACATTGACCGCATGGTCGCTTCCATTTATGCATTTGTTCAATAAGTATTTGTTGAGAATCCACTATGTGTCTCCACAACAATTAATAAGACAGACAAGAGCCCTCTTGTACTGTACTGTTCTGATAGGTGAAGGTAAAACTAACCAGGCAAACAAATAAAAAGATATCAGATAGTGCCAGATGGAGAAATTAAACACAAGCATGGGGCAATTTATTCAAGATCAAGGAAGTCTCCTTAGAAAGGAAATTTGAGTTTAAAATTAATAATGAGGGCCTCCCTGGTGGCGCAAAGGATTAAGCACCGCACTATGAAGCAATCCACAGCCTCTGCAGCATGAGTTCACTCCCCAGCCAGGGAGCAACCTACATGACACAGCAGACCTCTCCTGACTTGCCTGCTGCTCCACTCAGCAGTGTATTTCGTCAGTCTGCCTGCTCTGTTCTCCACTCTGTCTCTGGTGAATCCTCTCAGCCCCCACATCTCTGGCCTGTACCCCAGCTCTTGTGTGCATAAATAAATAAAATAAACAAATAAATAAATAAATGAATGAATGAATGAATAAAAATTAATGATGAGTAAAAGCAGCCATGAGTTTTCTGGGCAAAGAAAAGGAACATGGAGTTCTAAAGCCCTGAACAGGAATAATAATAATAATAATAATAACCAACACATACACGGCCCTAACAATATTCAGTTGCTGTTTTAGAGCTTTAAAAAGATAAATTTGTCTAATTGTTCAACAATTCTATATGAAATAGATCCTCGCATTATCCCATTCTAAAAATGGATAAACCAAGGTTCTCTGACTTGCCCAAGGTGTGACAACTAGTCAATAGTAGAGCCAGGCCTTACCCTAGGAAGGCGGGCTTCAACGTCCATGCTTTTGTTTTTATATATCACTGCCATTCTTGAATTCAGTGTAAATGACAAATAAGAGCCAAGGTCACTCGACACAGGGGGAGTGGCAGGTGAGAGGGGGGACGTCATAGGAAATGATGTAGGAGAGACAGGCAGGCCTAACCAGATCATATCAAATCTTCTAGGCTCATGTAGATGATAGCAAACACTGCATATTTTGCTGTTAGGGGAACCAGTCGCATTTTTCAGTAGGTGATGACTTGTGTCTGTTGCCTTGCAGTATCCTTGAGTCCTTAATGTGTAATGAGAGCAGTATTCAGAGCCTGCGCCAGAGAAAATCTGTGAATGCTTTGAATGGCCCCTTCTACCAGGACTATGAAGAGGACCCAGGAGATGGCAGCGCTGGGAACAAGGAAAACTCCAAGTTCCAGGATATCCACAGCAACTCTCATTATTACGTCTTCTTTGAAGAACAAGAGGATGAGATCATTGGTTTTGGCCAGGAGCTCAAAAACCCCAGGAAGAGACCCTACAGGCCTTTGACAGCCATTATGATTATACTGTCTGCGGGGGAAACGAAGACATGGTGTGTACCCCCAAGTCGGATGAATTCAATCCCTGCGAAGACATAATGGGCTACAAGTTCCTGAGGATTGTAGTCTGGTTTGTCAGTCTGCTGGCGCTCCTGGGCAACGTCTTTGTCCTGATCATCCTCCTCACTAGCCACTACAAAATGACGGTCCCACGCTTCCTCATGTGCAACTTGGCTTTTGCAGATTTCTGCATGGGGATGTATCTACTCCTTATCGCCTCCGTCGACCTCTACACTCATTCTGAATACTACAACCATGCCATCGACTGGCAGACAGGTCCTGGGTGCAACACAGCCGGTTTCTTTACAGTGTTTGCCAGTGAGTTGTCAGTATACACGCTGACAGTCATCACCCTGGAGCGCTGGTATGCCATCACCTTTGCCATGCGCCTGGACCGGAAGATCCGCCTCAGGCATGCGTACGCCATCATGGTTGGGGGCTGGATTTGCTGCTTCCTTCTGGCCTTGCTCCCTTTGGTAGGAATAAGTAGCTATGCCAAGGTCAGCATATGCCTGCCCATGGACACTGAGACCCCTCTCGCCCTGGCATATATTGTCCTTGTTCTATTGCTCAACATAGTCGCCTTTATCATCGTCTGTGCCTGTTATGTGAAGATCTATATCACAGTCAGAAATCCCCAATACAATCCAGGGGACAAAGACACCAAAATTGCCAAAAGGATGGCTGTGTTAATCTTTACTGACTTCATGTGCATGGCCCCAATCTCATTCTACGCTCTGTCGGCCCTGATGAACAAGCCTCTCATCACCGTTACCAACTCCAAAATCTTGCTGGTTCTCTTCTATCCACTTAACTCCTGTGCCAATCCATTCCTCTATGCTATTTTCACCAAGGCCTTCCAGAGGGATGTATTCATCCTGCTCAGTAAGTTTGGCATTTGTAAACACCAGGCTCAGGCATACCGGGGCCAGAGAGTTTCTCCAAAGAACACCACTGGTATTCCAGTCCAAAAGGTTAACCGGGACATGAGGCAAAGTGTCCCTAACATGCAGGATGACTACGAACTGCTTGAAAATTCTCATCTCACACAAAATAAACAGGGTCAAATCTCGAAAGAGTATAATCAAACAGTTTTGTAGGTTGACTCTACACTAATGGCAATGATTGAGGGGCTTATAGAAGGCTGGATTCTTGAATATGCGGTCCAACCACATGACACATATGACGCACAGGTGACCTAACTTCTTGTACAGGTGATGTTTCATGTGACAAGAGTTTGTCTCTGAAGAGGCACTGTTACTAGCCTGATCACCATCTCCAAGAAGGAAGAGTCTGAATCCCAAGTAAAATTAAAATACTCTATACTTTCTCAAAGACTTGCTTAATGTCAAATGCAGAAATGACATAATGTAAGATGCTCAACAGATACCACCTGAATCAAGTGAATGCCTGAGCTTCTCACTTTACAGAGCATTTCATACTGAAGATTAAGCAATGCCAAATGCTATTAACTTGGTTGATGACCACCAGAAAAAATTGTCTATGTTGGCTCAATCTAACTTCATGTTCCCTGATATAACCAAAAAGAGTTTGATTTCCTTGATGCTAAAATGGAAACAGGATGTAATCCAGTCATCCAAGAGAGTCATACCCTTTCCTGATTATCACTGAGATTTGGATGTCCATAATAGCAATCAATTGCTATTATGAAACATGAGGAGGGGAAATGCTTAGCTTTGAGTTGTTTTTATGCCTCTGAAATTATTAATCTTCTCTTCACAAGGAGCTACCTGATATGACCCAACTGTTACGTGTTGCCTGGAAAAACTGGCAAGATTTCAGCTTCTGTGACCCAGCAAATGAAGACTTGATGTTCTTGGCTAGTCTCATAGCATAACAGACCTGAACTCTAGAAATATTTTTAAGTAGCAACAAGTAGAAATTATGAGCCGAGCATACTAAATTATCTGCTGCTTAATGAAACAGGCTGGACGGCAACTAACTCTTGAAACTTGAGCAAAATGTTGGGCCTCAGAAGTCTGTAGAAATGAAGGAATTTGATGGCCTCCTTCAGTTTTAAAATCCCATGTATATACATTTCCCTCAAAATGTATGTTTTCATAACAAAGAAAAAAAAAGCTCTAAGGAAGCAAAATCTACTTCTCCTGTCTTTTAGGTCTGCCATCTCCCAAGAATTTAAACATGCAACCCAGAAATTGTTTTCTTTGTTTCATTTTTGGTTATGATGTTACAACCAAAAATTCTATTGTGTGACCATATTGGGCTGGATCTGAATCACTCATCTAATCACTAGATCTATAGAGCTATAATTATGAAACCAAATGTGGATTCACAGTCATAAAATAGAATAAAACATGGTTTCACAGATGTTGGTTATTTAGAGTTACTATACACTATGCATATTCATTTCAAAACACAACTTGTCTTCAGGGATTGGTTTCTTTTCTTAGTCATTTCCAAGCTACAATACAATACTAAAGCAATCAAAAGAGGCCGCTTCACTCTGCAGCTATGAGCTCTTTCTGATGTTGATGATCACTGGGCATGAAATCTCCATTCCTGGGAAGTGCTCCCTTACTTAAAACAATCACACACTTTATCTATACATGTACTTTGTATAGATGAGGGTTATCTTTCAAGACAGGTTCTAATTTAATTCCAAGCCAAGATGGAATTTGCTTCTCAGTACTTATGAACCACACCATGAATTAAAATTTTTTGCTGTCTTAAAGCTGTGGATTGGATTTAGGGGAACTTTTAGCCCCCAGAGATGGGTTCCTGAACACCCTTGGCACCTCTCTCTCCATGGCCTTATCTATTCCTGATTATCACTGAGACTCAGATGTCTTCACAGAAAGATTACGCACACCTAAAATCATGGCTTACCCACCAATTTACTTACAATTTGTTATCTCTTTGCATGTTTTTCTCACCTGTGACATTTGAAATGTCACACCCTGCTTAATAATGTGTTTTACATTAACCAGTGGAAATAATGCTTTTGAAACAGTCCTAGAAAAATAACTTTGACAGATGTGTTACTAAAATTTACATTCATAACAGGAAATAAATTTTCTTCTTATGAAACAACTGTGCTGAGTTTTAGAGTATTACTTTTTGTAATTTGTAAACTTCTCTTAGGGCCAAAATCATGTGTTAAAACTAACAAGTAAAAAACAATTGTACAGGTCCTAATAAATGCATGCTAGTAAAAAAAATTATTTGTTATCAATAACTTAAGTAAAACATTTTATTTTGATTACAAATGCTCTTTATGTGAAAAAAATACTCATGGGGAAATGAATTTTTCTTCATTGGCTATGGCAATGATGGGTAAAAAACTAGCATTGACAATAGGAGTTTAATTATGTGCTCATGAAAATAATAAATGTATAAATCTTGGCCAGAGTTCACTTTATCTGGCAGTTTTTGACTATCTGAGAGCTAAGAGATAATGTTAAGTCAATTAATTTCTAATCATTATGTGTAGCCAAAAGATATGTCTAAATATCTACAGCTCAAAAACAGGTACATAAATATATAACAGAATTACAAAATAACCACCAGAAGAACTAAAATCAGAAAATAGCTAAAAACGGCTTCTCTGGAGATTGGGACTAGGTATTGAGTAGTATTTTCTCCCCAAATTCATATATTGAAATCCTAATTCCCAATGTGATGACATATGAAGATAGAATCTTTTGGGTTAAATGAGGCTGTAAGGGTGGGCTAGTAATCCCACAGGACTAATAGTTCCTTATAAAAAAAGGAAGAGGCATCAGAGATCTCCCTCCCCCTCTCCCTGCATGCACAGAGTAAAGGTAATACGATAACACAGTCAACAGTGGAATATTACTCAGCAATCAAAAAGATAAACACATGCAGTTTGCAGCAACATGGATGGAGCTAGAAGGGATTATGCTCAGCGAAATAAGTCAGAAAGAAAAAGAAAAATGGATGGTCTCACTCATAGCAGGAATTTAGAAAATCTAAATAAGGGACCAGGAAAAAGACTAATTAATACAAAGTAAAAATCAAAATCAACAAGCGACTATAAAACAGAAACACACTATGGGGGGGGGAGGGACAGGGAGAGGAAGAACTAGGGTCAAAACAAGGTGGGGGGGTGCAATTATATGGGGAATATAACCAAAATGAAAATGCATACATTGTGCAAAAATGAAAAATTATGTAAGAATTATATAAAATAAAGTATATTTTTAAAAAGTCATAAAAAATAAAAATAATAAAAATAAAGGAGTTTTTAACCACCAAAAAAAAAAAAAAAAAAAAAAAAAACAAGGGGCCCTTAGCTAGCTGGGAAGAGAGCTCTCACAGGAAACTGAATTTTGGACTTCAGTCTTGGACTTCCAGCCTCCAGAACTGTGAAAATAGTAATTTGTGTTAAGCCCACCTCGTCTGTAACATTTTGTTATAGAAGCCCAAGCAAACTATTATAAATAAAAACGTTTCCAAGGTACTTTTCTCTGCTGATGAATTTTTTTATCACATGCATACTTTTAAAAACATGGTAGTGAAAAGTTATATGCTGTGTGATAATAATTAAACATGGCATTTTTTTTTAAGGTGCAGAATGGTTAATTTTACCAGCTAGTTGAGTTATTATGTCTTTAGAATTATAAGAAGAGGGAGATATCACATTAAGGGTGATTTGAACAATAATGTAGCCATTATGAAATTTAGGTTTTTTAGGATGTGATAAATCTAAGCCAGTGAGTATTAAAGTGCTTACTTTGTAGCAAATTTAGTAAACGAAACACAAGAAAGTAAACTCCTTTATAATTTATTCTATTGGACAGCCTAATCATATTAAATTAGAATTTTTATTTCCCATTAATGCATTACTACAAGTAGCAGAGACAAATGAATCATTTTGTTATCGGTCCCAAATTTGGTAAGGGAAATGTAAAACTTTAAACAAAGTAGAGAAATCAAGATTGCATAAACAACTCAGTTCTCATTTAGAATAATATTGGAGTTCTTTCTGAGAACTTGGGAATGTTTGGGAACATTCTGTCTCATTTATTAAAGTATTTTAGATGAAGAGAGATTAAGAAAGAGATGGGAAACTCCTATTTGACAGCATACAATACAAAGTTTAATAACATCTCAGCTCTGAGCCTCAACAGTCATAAAAAAAACAACAGTATTGGGCCTCCCCTGGTGGCGCAGTGGTTGAGCGCTGGGTTGCGAAGCTGCCCGCAGCCTCTGCGGCGCCGGTTCGATCCCCAGCTGCTCCCTGGCCACTGGAGGAGGGTCCCACATGGCGCACAGACCTCTCCTGCCGCCCGCTGCTCCCCTCAGCAGTGTACTTCGGTCCTTCTGCCTGCTCTGCTCCCCGCTCTGGCTCTGGTGAATTCTCTCACCCTCCCGCGCTTCTGACTGTACCCAGTGCATGTATAAATAAATACACAAATCTATAAAAAAAAAAAAAAAGAATTTTATGATAAAATAACAACAACAGCACCACAGATCTGCTCCTTACGAAGTGTTTTGAAAAAAATCATATTAATGACTTATTCCTATGACCCAGTGTCTTTCACTACAGGTGCTGTAATTTAAGGGTTAACCCCAAAGGGAACTGCAAAAAAAAAGTCCAAAAGAGCCTCATTTCTCTAGGAGGCTTTGCAAGTTTCTCTGCAAGGGCCATCTTAAACAGATGAGGTAAAGTTTGAGAAAAATAAGACTACTGTGATCCCTGTTGCAAATCCAGGTTTAAATTCTATTGTATTACATCTCTTTTCCCCAGACATCATGTGATAAAGGCTTCTGAAATGATGATGGATAAATTAAGATATTGTCATGTTAGATATTGGCAAACAATTTGTGGATCTGTGAGAATATGTGACTCTTAGAAGCTGTTATGAATAACAAATAGAACAATTTGATTTCATTCTATTTGCTCTCAGATGTTTCTCTAATTTTTCAAAGTTTTCCTTAAGCATTCTGACAGAAAAGGGATTAGGGTAAGTAGTAATAACTTCAGCAACTGTTGGAGATGTGAGATACCCTGACCGATGGAGCACTGTCCGAAGGAAAGATGGAGGTATCTCACAGCATACCTGTTGTCACTCTCTGTAGGCCAACTCTGGAGATGGGAAAAAGTGGCCATTCACCTCTGGCATTCATAGGTCTTCCCAGACATCCAAGTTGCTACTTGATTTCATTTTAATTGGTGCAGTTGAGCCGCTAGTGAGAGCAATAACTGGAAGAAATTCTTTTCTTCTGCTTCTTTCACTGTTTGATGATGCACCAAACTCATTCTCCCTCCAGTCATGGAAGTATGGCTACCATGGCATCATTAAGGAAAGGAACAAGCATGCCTAAAGCCTAGAGGACAGAAAGCAGGGAAAGGAAATTGCTGGTTATTCTCAGAAGCATTCTTCAGGCTTTTCTACTCTGCAGAGACTGACTCCTACAGACTGTTCCATCCATACTCAACTGCCCTCTGGATTCCAGTTGATTTGGCAAGGAGGGCATTGACTTGACATAGGAGCAAAGGAGGAGAGACAGTTGGGGTATCTATCTGCGATCCCTTCCTGACTCTTGGTTGCTTTAGCGGTAGTAGATAGCTCCATGATTACAACTCCTATCTGTGATATCCTGTCCAGGGCCTGCTACCGCCCCTCTTTTCCCTGACCATCCAGCCTCATGGATGATAATAGCATTGCTGTGGCTGACTCAAGTATTTGATCATCACTGATTGGTTTCCTTACACCTACCCACCACTGTGTAAAAAGTCTATTAAAATCTCCTCAGATTAACTCTGAGTTAAGCCACCTGTTTCTTGCCAGACTTCACCAACACAAGTAGATAAAAGCCAGATCGTGGAGAGAATAGTGTGTGCCAGACTGTACGATTGGCCTCTATTCAGTAGACAGTGGAGATTATCAAGGTTCTTAGCATAGAGTTGTGCGGGCTGTGCACTGTACGACTATGTGCGGCTTCCCACGTGTCTCAAGAAAAGGGGTGATATGATTAAGAAAAATGGAAAGGAGGAAGCTGGCCTGGGAGACAATTCCAGGAGACAAAATCTGATGTCAGATTATCGTAGACACATACTACTAACAGTGGGAAGAGGAAGCAAGGTTTATCAGTTTTAAATCAAGACTGTTACAACTCCTTAAGTCTGAGCTGAACAACTCATATTTTCTCCCACGTTGTAGAGCTCATCATTTGGCGCAACCTGTGCCCACTCATTCACTGTATTTCTGGCTTGGAAATCAGTTTTAGTTCAAGGAGCTTTGGCAGTTACTTCTCAACATCCTCACTTTCTAAGTTGATCTCTGGTGGTTCTGGAAACCAGATAACCAAGTATAAGGAAGATAAGAGATTTTCCTCTTGATTTCAACCAGGTCCTCTGACCAGCGACAGCTTTGTGTTCCCCAACCTTGTTCACATCATGACACATGAGAAAAATCATTTGGCATGCAACCAGGTACAGAAGAAGTTGTTCTTGGCCAGAGAGAACTAATAAAGCTGCTCTGGCAGCCCCAAATGTAGCCAGCTTCCCCAAAGTTTAAACAGTTCAAGAGTGACGCCTTCTTGCAACACACTGGAGACGTACTAGTTGTGAAGCTCCACCTTAGAGCTCCAACTCCATCTATACAAGAGTTTCTTCCTCTTGGACTTTTCTCATGAATTATCGCTGACCTCAAGAAGGGCTTGGTCCTGCTTTAACATGTGACCCAATTACGGACACATGATTTCTCCTTTGATTTTCTGATGCACAGTCAAGGCAACAGCCCATCATTATTATGCCTTTATGAATGAGAAAAAAACACCCTTGTTCTAAATGGACATTACCAGGGTGTCGCAGTAGCAGCCAGCCAAGAGCAGGGATATTTAAATAAGGTTTTATTAAAAATCCATGGAATTATAGAAATAAAGAGCAAGTAACATCACTCACGAATTAGTCTTACCTGCTTAACTCAGCTTGGGGCCCATGAGAAGCCTGTCTCCATAATTTACTAGGCACCTTTCCACTCTCTGCAAGTCACTCTGTTTTTGAGGCCTTTTTACTTGGGAATTGTCCAATTCTATTGGCTGTCTTTTCCCTACGTTGCTTATCCTACTCTGAAAGCCATAATTGCATATCAAATTCTGTGATACATTTTCAACTTCCAATGTTGTGCTGAGCTTTAGGATCTATCTCGATGACACCCAAGATTTCATGGAAGTT